GATGACAGCTATCACCGATCACCAATCACATCCGCCCATTCCTGACAATACAGCAAGCGCTAATTTAATGCTTCATACATTTTGTTCGTGTTATCTTTGTGTTTCTAATTTGTTACGTACGGATAGACCCAATCTTTTGTTATGTTTGTATGTTTATATATACCAACTGATTTTTTTTGTAATAAAATGCAATATCAAACAACAACTCATATCAATTTATTTCATATTGTTCCCTTCTTGTATTCTGCCTCGTTCCAGTGCATTGCCATACAATTTAATAATAAACAAACCAAGAAACGAATGAAGCAATCTACTGTTGTGACCATCGGTCCATAAACTGAGAGCGGATGGAGGGGTGACGAATCAGGGTTGGACGTAGAGGTCCTAACATCTTATATAAAGTACGATAATTGCACAGATGCTCTTATGTGGCAATGTTAACATAAAAGCAAAATGAAATTTGAAGATGCCAGTGTTAAATATTAATAACTTCAATTCATTTTAAACACCTCGTCATTTAAGTGTCTAAACGCATTTTCGGTATTTTCGACAAGAATTCGCCTGATAGAATATATCTTGAAGAAAATTATAGATACGCACGTAATACACATCTTATGTTTCATTAAACTCATTGATTTTGATAAAGTAAATTGTATCGCCGTGTTCACTGTCTGTTCATTTGAAAAATATGTTTCGAAGCAATGTGGCCATAATCAGGCAGAGAACTGAACCTGGTGATAGCCACATTGCTTCGAAACATGTTATTCGTGTCACCAGACAGCGAACATTGTGTGAAAATCGACTGGAAGAGAAACCAAGAACTCAACACAACATAATATGACACTGTTTCCGAGAGAAAGAAGAATTCGCCTCAAACACGGTTCGGTGGGTAGGAGACATGTGAATTCGTCGACTATTTTACGACTCGCATTTCCACTTAAGATATCAGTGTGCGACTTTCCTGTGATTCGACCGATAAATCCCTTCACCATGTGTCAATAACACGTGTCTTGTGCACAGACTTCTTTCGTTAAAATTAAGCGTTCTTCTGTTGGTGTATTTCCCGCAAGGCAACCATTGACTACCGATTTTCATAAATCTCGGTCCACCTAATGACTACCGATTTTCATAAATCTCGGTCAGTTTTACCTATGAAGTGAAAAGAATAAATAATGAATAAAACGAGAAAAAAGTAAAGTGGAAGAAACAAGAAAGACACAAACAAAACTGGGGGAAAAATGCAAATAATATAGAACCAAAAAGGTATATAAAAAACAAATGAAAAGGTCAGACGCATAAATAAGAAATACACAAAGAACGGAAGAGAGGTTAAAATATAATGAACAACTGACGTCTCCACCTATAATTCAGGAAGCGCTGTACTGCTTGTTTTAGCGAGCATGTCCATTGAGTACAACGGCATGTTCGTGCTCCTAGAAGAAACACATCTCCGAGTTGCGACCTCCAACTTCTTATCCCTAATGGTAAGACCAGCTGTGGCCAGTAAGAACCAGCCACTCCTTTACTGCTTTTATCATCCGTAAAACATTACACGGACAACGACAGATATTTATGAGGATATCTACGTTAGGTAGAACAAATCCTGTGTTTAATTACATGTCCTAG